AATATCAATATATTGATATTGATTGTTTCCTGGTTGCTTATTTGTACCCTATGACTATCATTAAGTTTTGTACCTTATGATTGGTGACAAATGTATCTTATCTTTTTATGTACACTGAGAGCATAGGCACCAAAGACAAATTCCTTGTGTGTCCAATCACACTTGGCCAATAAAGAATTCTATTCTATTCTATTCTATTTTGGCCAAAGGTTTAGTATGGCATGTACCAGTTCTGCCTCTCACTGCTATCAAGCCTCACCCATCTAGGGAAGATCGAGAAAATAAGAATGATTGTTTCCTGCCACCTGGGCTAAGTTGCTGCCTATAAAATAAACCTGCAACACTCTCACCTTTTATTTCTTGATTATTTCGTCCAGTATTTTTCAAACTCAGCAACTTTAAAGTATGTGGACTTTAACTCTCAGAATTCCCTAGCCAGAATTTTGGGAGTTGAAGGCCCACAAACCTTAAAGTTGTCCAGGTTAAAAAAAGACACTGATTTAGATCTGGCTTCTGGCCCCTCTTTGATTACTTTCCCTGTCTTCCCACAACCTTCACGCTATCAACATAAACATTCCAACAGGCATCATCTTATCTTAGTCATGATGAGGTTCCAACCTGATATCCACAAACCTCAGAAGTGGGAAAGTCCTCCTAAGGCAGCTTTTGGGCAGTTGTGCAGTTCAATAAACCAAGGATGAAGTGGTCCACAAATATGGTAGATAGGAAGGAAGCAGCCAAAGATAACCATGAAATGGTACGAAAACATGCAAACAAATAGTTTGAGGGAATGACTCAAATGACAAGGACTGATTCCATGTGCTTGTAGGGGTCGATGGTTTCTAAGATATTCTTGATGTGATGTCATTACATCAGTGTAATTCTTGTGTTGGTTGCGCTGTCCTGGGCTGAGTGGTCAGGGACTTTCTGATAAAGTTGTGTGGATATTTATCAAAGCGTCACTGTGAGTGAGTTGGATGGCCATATTAATTTTCTTAATAAATACCGTATTTTTCGGAGTATAAAACGCACCTTTTTCCCTCAAAAAAGAGACTGAAAATCTGGGTGCGTCTTATACACTGAATACACCTTTTTTTTTGGCCTCCAGAAACCCCACCCCCTTCACCAAAATGGCCGTGCATAGCCTTTAGGAGGCTTTCAGAGTGATTCTGGGGACTGGGGAGGGCAGAAATGAGCAAAAAAATGGGCCGTTCTTTGCTCAATTTTGCCTCCCCCAACCCCCAGAAGCACTCTATCAGCCTCCAAAAGGCTATGCATGCCCTTTAAAAAAAAAAGTGTCCATTTTCACAAAAAAAACGGGCCATTTTGGGGAGGTCTGCAGAGTGCAAAAACTTTTTTTTTTAATTTGCCTCTTCAAAATCTTGGCGTCTTATACTCCGAAAAATAAGGTAAACCAATTTATTAGGTGGTTAAATTAAGATTAAGCTTTTACTTTGTTCCCCTGAAAAATAAGACCCAGTGTTATTTTCTTTTCAGCCCCCAAATAAGCACCAGGTCTTATTTTCGGGGGATGTCTTACCCACTTACCTTAGGACCACTGCAGCCATGACTCCTACGCCCTGACACCTGTTGCACCACTGTCCAACCATTCAGGAAGCTGTGTGGCCCATTGTGCCATTGTGGCAGAGGTGGGTTCCTACTGATTTAGACCGGTTTGGCCGAGTAGGTAGTAACTCGGCCTGCCACACCCCCAAACCGATTCTCTCGTTCTTGTTTTTTTGCTTCTGTGCATGTGCAGAAGCAATTTTTTTTGTACTGTGCATGTGAGTGTAAGAGTGCGCAGCACATCCCTGAGTGAACTGGCAGTAACAGCAGCTGGAACCCACCTCTGCATTGCGCGCACAAGTGGCAGCACCAGTGTGATGAGCTATGCAGCGTCCTGTCACAAGCAGTGGCAAAGATGCAATGCGCCACATGGTGTTTGGCCACAAGGAGCCGCAAGCGACTGCAGAAGAAGTTGGGCTACCGCACGACAGGTGTCGGGGCATGGGAGGCCTGGCTGCAGCAGTCCTAATGTAAGCGGGTGTGGGGCATATGGGGCAGCTCCATCCCCCCCACACCCTAGCTTGATTTTTACACCTGCACCTCGCCTCACCTCATACAACCAGATTGATGGGAAGGGCTTAACTAGGGCCTATTTTGGGAGGTAGAGCTTATATTAGGTGCAGCCATGAAAATCGGACTAGGGGTTTGTTGTGGCCCAGCAGGAGCCATTGGAGCTGCTGACAGACTCCGATAGCGAGGGATCCTATGAGTCGGCTCTGGAAGATGTGGAGGGCCCTGGGCAGGGTGCAGACTCGGAGCAGGGACCTGAGAGGCTGGTTGGCCACCAGAAGGCGCCTGAGGCATGGAGTAGCAGTGAAAGCCAAAGGGAGTTTGTCCCTGACGTCAGGCCCTGGAGCAGTGTTCCAGACGTCAGGCCCTGGAGCAGTGGGGAGGAGCAAAGGGAGTTGGTCCTGGATGCCAGGCAGAGAAGGGCGGAGAAGCGCAGGCAGCAATTACGGAGACATAGAAGATAATCAGGCCCAGGTGGTTGTGATTTGGCTTCCCCCAAGAGAGTATATAAGAAGAAACTTTGAGAGGAGACCTTTTGCAGGACACAACCGTTATACTAAGCTGGAAAAGCTCTTGTGTGTATCTCTTATCTGTGGGAGTCTGGGTTGCTGCCAAAGTCTTGTCTGTGAGTAATTACTGTGAATAAAGCATGGCTAACAGTAACCTTGTGTCGGCGTGACTCACCGTACGGAGGAGGGTCGGAACAGGGTTGTTTTCAGGGTAGGTCGTATTTATGGGGGAACATGGTATATGTCCTTATGATATCCTTCTCGCTTACATTTCCACGTCTTGTGTTCCTTTTCTGCAGGTCCTCAGAAAAATGGAAAGAGGCGTTGAATGAACTCTACAACTATTTGTAAGTCTCAATGTATTATGTTCGGGTCACAAAATAAAACCTTGAAGGTTGAAGGCCAAAAAGACCCTACAGTAGCCATAGCCAAAAGAAAGGATAGAAATGGCCAGTCCAGGGGAGACCATAACATCTGGCAGAATCTCTTTGGATGGTCTGCAGTATTTCAACCTTGAAATAAGGTTTCAGGCACCACCTGCAAACGGATCCTTTTGACTAAAGCTGTCAGAGACTGAACTCCTATTTCCTTTGTATTCATTTATTAATGATTGAACTTTTATCCCATCCTTATTTTGGGAGCTCAAAGCCTCACAGGAGATGAGTTGACATGAGTGATCATCACGTTCCCATAGCATGAACTAGAAGTATAACCTCAAGGCTAGTGGTTTGGGGGAAAATAGGAGGCAAGAGCATTATGAATACTGCCTTGAAATATAAATATGTATGAATTAATTAAAATTAATTGTAATATTTAAATCTAATTATAATAAATGTAATTTAATAATAAAATAAAAATTAAAAGTCATATTGTACATGGGAGCAGAATTCAGTATTTTCATATATATATGAATGTGTGTGGGGGGGGGGGCGTGGTGTGTGTGTGTGTGTGTTGCATTTTTGCTCAAAAATAAATGAAGGGAGACTAGTATAGATTTATTTCAAGCTATTTAGCTCTCATCAACTAGCCATACTCTTACTGAGATTTGAACTTGGGCTGTTTTTACATCTTAGGCAGTTATATTAATCTCTAAGCCACAAGCTCTTCTATTTTATCAGCTGAGCCAGGGGAATGATTAAGTGCTTCCTGGCATGCTCCCTCCCAAATTTAGGCACACCAGGTGCTTTGACAAAAACACTTTAGATAGATGATAGATAGATAGATGATAGGTAGGTAGGTAGGTAGGTAGGTAGGNGGCGCGCTGTTGTCGGCACGCTTTTGACATCGCTGTTTTAGCGCTGCGGTGTTGTCGGTGTGCTTTTGACGTTCGCGGTTATGTCGTGCCACGCACTAGATGAACTGTTGTAAATCGAGGACTACTTGTAGTCTAATGAAGAGAAGGACCAGGGGAGACATGGATAGCCCTTCCAATAGGTGGCAAGCGGAGCCATTTCTGAGGGCACGCAAGGTGTTGCCCTGTCAGTTCCAGCGCGCATGCACGGGCTGGCCAGCTGATTTTGGTCTTGATTTTTGCCCGTTTTTTGCCCTCTGGCGGCTTCCTGGGAACCAACTTCCGGTTTGCGCGTTGGGCTCTTTTTTGCCCTCCAGAGGGAGAAAAACGGCCCAATGCGCAAACCGGAAGTCAGAAAATGGGATGTTTATGGCCTCCCGATGGCCTCCAGGACGGCAGAGGTTATTTTTGCCCTCCCCAGGGTCCAAGAAAGCCATGTACACATGTGCGGGGCAGTGGGGGGAATTACGTGTACATGCGCAGGGAGCACGGCGGGGGGCATTAAATTATAGGGGTGGGCAGGTGCTTTTGGCACCTGAAGCAAAAAAGGTTCGCCATCACTGGTATAGGGTCTCATGCTTGGGGGGGGGGGGAATTGGGACTAGATGACCTACAAGGTCCCTTCCAACTCTTATTAATCTATAATCTGTATCATCCCCCAAAGCTTATCCCGGAATTGTGTCTGGTACCTGTCCAAGGACAGAAACAACGACTTAACCAGGCAGAGGCACCATCGGCTCAAACTCCCACCCAAGACGCTTCATTGTTTAGGCTGGGCCCGGCGCCCATTTCCGAATGCCAGGGACTCAATCCAGGAAACTAAGCGGTCTGACTGTATCCACCGGCAAGTGAAAAAAGTGTCTTCACTCCAGGACCGATGAGAGGCCTCCGAAGTCTCCCAAAGAAGGGGCAAAACCGGACGGGAAAGCGGGGAAGGGGTTTCAAATTCTGCCTGTATTCTTTTCAGACAGACTCGGGACGAGGGAGCAGGACATTCGCGGTCTTTGCAGCGTTGTCCCCCAAAACCCGCGGGACATCAGGAATGCCAAATCCCCAAAGCGGCTGGGAAGAGCAGCCCCAGTTTGGAGTGGGGTTTTTTCTCTCTCAGCGTTTCCAGGGTTCCCAGACCTTGGGACGCAGTTCGCACGAAAGGGCATTTTCTAGGGCGATTTCTCTTCGTCCCTGGAGCTCTCTGCTTCGAGGCAAAAACGCAAAGGCAAAACCCAAAGCACAGGGCTGGTGAGCTCGGCCGATCTTAGTGCACAGCAGGCAAAATGCCACCGGGCTAAGCTACCGCTTTAAATCTTTCCCGGAGTCCGCCTCGCCCTCGGAACGCCAGATTTTTCCCCCCTCCCTCTCTCTTTCTCTCTCTCTCTTTTTATGAATGAAAGGCTTCTCAACAAAAATATGTAAATTAAGGCCGACTTGATTGGCTACATTTCCCCGAATGAAAAAAAAAAGTTAGGCAGTTCATTGTTGCCGAGAGGCGGGACTGGGATGGCTCTGGGAGGTGTTCTGACATAGGAGTGCGATTGGGTGCCTGGTAGGGTAAACAAGCTGCGATTGACAGGCCGTGGCAGAGTTGTTGGGCCAATGGAGGACGAAGCGAGGCGGGTTCTGGAGGCCGTTCGGGGGCTTGGATAGCAGCCCGAAGACGACACAGGGTTTCTAGCGACTGCACCGCGGCAGCGCGATAGTTCTAACGGCAGGTGAGGAGAGGCGAAGCTCGCTTAGCCTTCAGGCTTGGGGTGAAAAATCCGGGCCCAGGATGCTAAACTGTGGGGTCGGTGGGCTCGTGGAGTTGCGGTGGGCGGCGGGAGCAGATTTTCGGAAGAGGGGGGGACACAGGTGTTTAAGGTGTCTCCAAGATGCTGAGGATTGCGGGATTTGCGGAGGATACACGGTGCGACTTTTAACTCGGGTCTGCTGGGATAAGGCCGGCTCTCGGAAGGGAATGGGAGAGCAAAGGGTTGCAAGAATGCATGGAAAGAGACAGTATGGCGAAGAATTGCGAGGGAAAGCTGTGCAGTCGCGCCGCCACTGGCTGCAGCAGGCACTGAGAGGATTGGTGGTTTTTTTTTTTTTTTTTTTTTTTTTGTGAATGTGGGAGATTTTATGAATGGAGCTGGTTTTCTGTGAATGGAGCGCATGAGTGCGGGGGCGGGGGCTGAACCTTTTCGCGGCGTTCTGCTCGGGGGAGGGGGTGGCATATCTGAAGGCGTTTAATGAATGGAGTGCGTCCCTTGTTATTGTGAATGAGGCCCTGCGCTAGGGTTCTAGTTACGCTGTACCTGCTCCGGTTGTTTGCTCTGCCATTCATAAAAAAAAAAAAAAAACTTAGGCCAGATTCGCGCGCGGCGCGGGGGAGGGGATTGTAATTCTATTGTTTGGCTACGCGAAAGGTTTTTCAGGGTTTTTTTTTTTACAATAAGGTTCAGGAGAGGCAGAAGGAAAACGGCGGCTATAATGCAAAATGCGAAACAGTGAAAATGCTATTTAATCTTTCAGTTATTGCTTTAAATGTCAAACCTTTTAAAACCGATCGGGTAATTTAGAAATTAGGGGTTTTCTCTAGAATTCTAGTGGACAATTTCTGGATTATTATTATTTTTTTGCTGGCATTTAGGAATAGTCTGCGACAGTTGATCTGCTAGGATAGAGATGATCGTAAGCTGTTTTCTTACTACCCCTCCGGTGCTATAAAACTAAAGCTTTTCCAGAAGCTTTTCTTTAGAACATAAATGTTTTATTTTTGTCGACCATTTAGCAAAACCTGGCTGGACTAACTAGCTACAGAACAGGCTATTTAAAAGTCTTGAAAATTCAATCAATAAAACAAGAGCTGAGTTATTTAGTTCCCTCTGTCAGGAGTTATCTGAGATTTCTTAGTATTCTTTTGCTAAAACAGGAATATTGCAAGGGTATCCATCCTGAATTTATTTTGTAGGAAGTAAATAATGTTGAATGAAAATAAATTTAGTAAACTCATGCTTAAATTCTGGAAAATTACTTTCTCCGTTTATCTAAAATAGTTAGGCCTAGGCATCTTTCATGTGAAAGATGAAATCAACAGAATTGATTTTCTTTGCACTTGTTGCTATTTATATTCTAGCCCTAGGTCACATAGAAAGGAAAACGAACTTGAAAACGTATGACCCTTTGGTTTGTAATACATCGCTTTGTAATTGGAATTTGCTTTTTGTACTATCATAACTGTTTCCATAGTAATTCTGTGACACCACCAATAAAGTTGAGACTTATCTGTTGGTTGCAGAGAAAAATAAGATGATGGTTAAAAAATGAATAAATATAAGCAAAACTAGAGGAATAAAAGTACTATAATGGGGATTATAACAGATAATCCTCCAAAATTTTGAATTATGCTCACATACTGTTAGGGGAAGTCTATTAAAATGTAATAGTTGGTCTTTCTTTTAAAAAAAAAAATCTCTCTTCTCTCCAGTTTTAAATCTGCCGGAGCTAGATTTTGAACCCTTCTTATCCTGGAATTGCTCAATGCTAAAACCATTCAAAGGAATATTTAAAAATCTGCAAACACAATGGATGGCTTTTATGACCAGCAAGTCCCTTTCATGGTTCCTGGGGTATGTATTGTATGGTTATATATATATATATTATGCAACTGTTTTCTTCATACATGAAATTTCTCTATTAACACCTTCCCAAGTTTTTGTGCCAATTTTTATTTATTTATTTGCTACTTGCCCTTTGCAGCTATATATATATATATTTTGCTTTCATTAGAAATCTTGCACAGAAGAATGTCGTGGAAGGCCAGTGAATGAAAGAAAAAGGAAATTTCAGGACACTGATCTGGCTCATGATTCTGAAGGTAGACTCATTACCATTCTTGTTAGCACATTTAAACATTTTTGTAGCTTTTTAGTAGACTTTTTTTTATTTTCTTTCAGAATTGTTTCAAGACCTTAGTCAGCTTCAGGAGGCTTGGTTAGCTGAAGGTAAATCCCATTGATATAACTTTCTACATTTTTATTGTTTGTTAGCTGTTGATTCTAGTTA